TCCACAAATAGATATCCAGGTACTTCTGGCCTTGCTAGCTTCCACACTCAAGCAGCCACTGCAGCAACACATCTTGTACAAATACTAGGATTTGGATTCTAGCAAATTTCTTCTCATTTCCAGAGCTCATATGAACTGTATACACCCTGTACACCCACACAAGGAAGGCCATGAAAGGAAGAACGAACTCACAGCTCAGTTTCATGGCCAAAACATGAATTTTATCTGCATGCATGTTTACTAAAAGAAATAATGATTAAAAAAAAAAAATCAGATCAACCACGCTCTTCCCCAAGTACTTTCTTTGTTACATAAATAGGACTATGCTCACAACAGAAACAAGTGCTGTTGGTCACTCCTACCCAACTCAAGATGTGGCCCTCACACCCATAGTCAACTTGGTGCAGGAATGGCAAGAATACACCATAAACTGCCATGGAACAAGGTGGTTGGGATGAAACACCCTACAGAACAAATGCAGTCACAAAGCAACACCTGGTCCTTCTGAAAAAGAAACAAGATTCCTCTAACAAAATAAATGCAGACATCTCGACAAAGAACCAGCACTGAGTTGGCATCACACCAATAAGAGTGCCAGTCCTGCTCAAACAGTAACAAGTCTGCTCTGTATGGAGGAAATAACATGCTTCACTAATACAGCCATTCTCATTCAAGAAAAGAAAACTCATTGTGTTCCTACCTGACCCTGCAGCAACAATTTTAGCTATCTGACTCCGAAGGTGACTCAGCTCATCCTGGAGCTCTGTCGTTCGGCTCAGTGCAGGTAAACCAGGCTTCTTCAAGGCCAGCAGCTTCTCTTCCTGCTTCCTCAGGTTGGGGACTGAAGCATTTCGCTGTATGACTGTGAAGGGGCTCGGTTTCCATTTGTGTTTCAGTGGGCGAGTGTCACTTCTACAAGACAAGGACCTGTCAGTCACTGATGAATCCAAGCCCTTCCACAACAGTGCTCAGCATCTCTCTGCCCCTCCCTTGGGACAGCAAAACAGTTCAACACGATAAATTAAGCCTCTTATACTACTGTGCTCTACGCCTTGTTTGGATGTGCTGTGCCATCACACGTGCTGTCTCTCTGCATTGCAAGGAACAGAAAGTCAAAGAAATCACAATCAAACAGCACAAGACAAGGTGAAGTGATACAGGGACAGAAGTCTCCATGTGCTCCCAAGGTTTCAGATCACATCCCTCCTGCTAACTGTATCCCCATGCTGGGCAGTATGCTGAGTGCACAAGCTCAAGCACCACCTACCCATTAACTTCTGCCTCTGATTTAATCTCTTACAGGATAACTACTGTTGTTGTCCCATTTAAAGGACAAAGGTTCCATTGAACAGTACCAAACTCCTCAGGGCTAAATGTATCAGTCCCAGGAAAACTGGGACTCACTTTGAGTGCTGGAACAAGAGGCAGTGGGCACTAACTGGAACACAGGAGGTTCCATCTAAACATCAGGAAGCACTTCTTTACTGTGCAGGTGATGGAGCACTGGAATGGGTAGCACACAGAACTTGTGGAGTCTCCCTTCTTGGAGACGTCCAAAAGCCATCTGGGTTACACTGCTGGAAACTCCAGGTGTCCCTGCCTGAGCAAGAGATGACCTCCAGAGGTCCTTTCCAATCTTAACTATTCTGTGATCCTGTGAGCTCAACCCTTCAACTTCCTAGGCTGAAAAATACTGTAAGCTGGTGGCTTGCTCTGCTCAGATGTTTCAGTGAGTAAAACACAGCACAAGCTCTTAGTGCTTTGTGGGAATTCCTCCAGGAAACCTCTGTATTTTTCTTGTCCCTTGGGAAAAACATCTTTGAACAGGCATCACATCAGTTCTCAAGGTGACTAGAGGTCGTGAGCACTGGATCAATTTCTGGCCTGTGCTACACAAAAGAAACCACTTTATAAAAATAAGGGTCAACAGACACAAAGATGAAACCAACCTGACTCGGGCGTATGTTTCTTCATCATCTGCTGCTATCCACCCAATGTCTGCCAGGGTGGGGACAGGAGGGGCATCATTTAAATAGAGCTCTGAAACATTAGGTAGAACCTACAAAGAAGAAAATGACATGAAGGAAATGATGGTCCTGTTTCCTGAAGCCACTCTGGATTTGCTACACTGTTTGTCAGAGCCCTTCTCCTCTACACCAAGCCAGCAAACAAATTTGCAACACTGTTTACCCTATGAAAATGTAGTGCTCCTCTGTGCTGGTTTCAATCTGTGTTCTTGGGTGCCTCAGTGTTACTGTGCTATGAGTCTAAATAGCAAAGCAACCAAGGGATATTTGATACTGCTTAACACACTGCCTAGGCCACGTGCAACACTTTGTCATTACAAGTCCTTGAGCTTTAAACAGTTACACAAGTGCTTCCATTAACCTTCCTCACTGCTTAGGAAAGAGTCTCAGCAGCTGCACAGGGCCACAACACAAAGCAGTGGTTCAGCAACACGTTTCTATTTTCCCTAGCTACCAGCTCTCCAACTCTGCACAGGCATTATTTTAGGAGGTATTTTCCTCAATGTTTACCAGTGGTCACTTACAAGCACAGGAATTACAATAAAAGAAAAAAAAATATCTTAAAGTTAAGTATGCAGCTACATACTTAAAGTTTTGCAAGTGCTGGTCTACATACATTTGGTTTATGGTACAGCAGTTCATGAGAGACACAATGAGATCAACATATCAAAGTAATTCAGATACACTCAATTTATAATAAGTGCTCATCTGCACATAGAAGATGCTAAGCATGATGTCCCAACAAGCAAGCTTTCCACACATTACCCTTAATTTTTTCTGTCTGAATGGTGTGCTGACACTGAACACAAAGACACATCAAAAATAAAGATCCAATCCACAATCTGTCAAGAGAACTAATGGGGACTGACATCTGGAAACAGTTGCATGTACATTTTTCCAGAAGCTCTATCTTATGTCAGTAGCACAACGTCAATTTATGCTGACTGAAAATTATCCTGATGTTTTCTTCTACTTAGTCATGTCCTCATAGTATGTGGTTGCCTTGTTTTTATTAAGTTTTTATTTATTTATTTATTTATTTGAAAGAAGGAGGAGAAAAGAAGTTGTTTTGATTTGTCTTCTATGCCAGTGAGCATGGAGGGGGAATAGTGTAAGTCATATCTTCCATTAGCTTTTTTTTTTTTTTTTTTTGAGACACCATTAACTGAACATTGCTTCTGCTTGCAGTGTGGTTCTGGTGTACAACAAGGAGGTTTCTCTTGGTGGAAACCACACTGGAGGTGTTGAAGGCCAGGTTGGATGGGGCCCTGGGCAGCCTGGGCTGGTATTAAATGTGGAGATTGGTGGCCCTGCATGTGGCAGGGGGCTGGAGATTCATCATCCTTGAGGTCTCTTCCAACCCTGGCCGTGTGATTCTGTGAGAGTGCCCTGTTTTAATTCCTACACACCATCACCAAACTCCTTGTGAGCATGCTTACCTCAAAGGTCGCTCTGGGACAGGGCTTCAAAGGGAGGTTGGATCCAATCCTCCTGACAACGCTGCGCGCCGAGCCGTGGGGTTTGTTCTGCCAAATGGGGATTGTCTGAAAGAAGCCATATTACACAATTAATATTCAAAGTCAGCTGCCCTTCTTATGACCTATTAAACTGGGAACCGTCATATATAATCTGATCTCTGATTTTCTATTTGCTTAAAGATAGTTTTAATTAGGAATATGAGAACCTACCAATAGCTAAGGTTCTAATTCCATCAAACTGTGCTTTAGCTGAACATAAATGGCAGTGAATCAGTTACTGAGGGGCATTTTAAACACAAGTGCACTATTTCAGGACTGAAAGCTACAAGTGTTCAGAAACAGACACTGAGCAATAAATAAAAACATGCTGACAGGAGGAAAACATTGTTGTGTGAACAGCCCAGAAGAAAAACGAAGCCAGAAATCACATTTAAATGAGGTACCTTTAATTCTATGATCTTTAAAAGCAGCGCTGATACAACTGTGAACAATTCTTGAGCAACAAAGCATCAATTCTATTTAATGCCCATCCAAACTGAGAACAGTCACATTTTCAGAATCAGAGTGTTTTTGTGATCTCTGGTTACTAATTAAGCTGATTCCTAAGAAGTTCTGTCTCTCTTTAGTTGCTCTCCCTCCCCCAGTTTTACAGCTCTGCCATTGGCTTTCTGACAGGACACTGCACGGGACCGGGCAGCAAACACCACAACGAGAGCCAGGAATCCAAACAGCTTCTTCTGCTCAGCTCACCACCAAACCCATTAAGAAGTTAACAACGCAACGTGCTACGCGCACAAAGCCTACACGCTGACCTTAAAATAGCAGTTACATCACCGCACTGAAAACTCCCCCTATGCGTGCTTTGAATCGAACCTCCGGCAGGGCAGCGCGTGGGGTGGGACGCCAGGAGCACCGCGGAGCCGCTGTACGGTGATGGCGGTACTTACGGACTCCGCTGCCATATCGGGCACCGGCAGCTCGTCAGCGGGGCGGGATCAGGGCTGCGTGCTGCGGATCCCGGGGACGCGCTCCGGCCTCATGGCACGCCGCTCGGGGCCGCACTGCGGGCTTCTCGCTACAAGACAGCGGTCATCGCGCTGCAGCGCCGCGCTCTCCCGCACCGGGGCCGCGCCAGCAGCGACCGAGCCGGGCCAAGCGCGTCCCCTACGCGCTGCCGAGCACCGGCGGTGCCGCCCGGCCGCTCCCGGCTCGAAGCGGCGATGTCACCCAACCCGACGGAGCAGAACGCGCCGCCCCGTCCCGCCCTCACCCAGCGCTACCTGAGAGAGAGCAGCGTCGCGCCGCGCCCAGCACCCGCCCCTCCACGGCCCGGAAGTAGAAGGCGCACCGGAAGCGGAAATCCTCCGCGCACTTCCGCTGCGGCTCCGCGCGCATGCGCCGTAAGCCTGTAGGCAGCACGTGGAGAGAGCGCATCCTTTACACCCACCTCACCCCTCCCCCACCCGCCATTTCGGAGGCAAGGACTGAGCGAGGCTGAGCTGGTGGGATCTGTTTAAGGAACGCGGCTACACGCGGCCCGGACAGCCCGTCACACCGAGCGGCACCGGCGCACGCAGATCCAGAGGCGGAGCAGCGCTGCTTTCCCACGAAGTGCTGCTGGCAGACATCAGCTCTGACCCGTTTGTGGATTTAAGGCCAGAACGTCACGAAGCACAGGAGATTGTGAAAAGCAGCATCGCCCTCCCCCTTTGGAATATAACAAGCTTACTGAAAAATATAGTAAGATTACAAATATAAGAGAAAACGCTTGGCAGGTATTAAAAAAAAAAGTCCTCAGATAAGAGTCTGTCCAGAGCCCACTCACAGCAGTGGGTGGAAGGTGACAGGTTGATCGGGATGTCTTGTGGATCATGAGTTAACACGAGGACACTGCTGAATCCAGGATTCTCCAGATTGCTCTAGGCTAAGGATGGTTGTTTGTGCTCCTCCTGCTTCAATGCAGCCGAATCCCTTCTTGCTGTGCTCACAGCACCAGGGAGAGGGGCTCCGGTCCCTCCTCTGCCTGCTGTTGCCTAGCTTTGCAGAACTGCTGCTGTACCTGATTCTCCAAGCCTTGAGGAGACAACCCTGAGTGCTCAGCCACTGCTCTCTCTGGCCCCTTCTGCTGCAAAACCAGTCAAAAGAGAAATAAATGGAATGAATACACACGTGTGTGCTGGTTTGAAGTCCAGACTAAAAGGCTAACAAAAAGTGAGAAATGAACAAAAGCCCTCAGGTGAAGCTCCAAAAAAGCTGTAAGAGCAGATAAAACTAAAGCAGTGCTTCCCAAAGTGCTGGATGGAGGTAGGCCCTCTGCTCTGTCCCTCTTGCCTTGGTTCAAAGTCCCCAGAAGGGTCAGAGGGGGCTGAGCTGCCATGGTGACTTGTCTCGTGGTCTCTTTAACGCTGTCTGGAAGCTTTGACACTTTCCACAGCCACCACTGAAAGCACTGCCTGTATGTAATTCAAACCTGTAATTACTGCAGGTCACTTGGAGGGCTAGAAAAGCGTGGAACTAATGCATAGTTAAAAAGCCAATACTAGGAAACATCCCACAGGTAATTAATCTCACTTAGAGCAATTAGCTACACTACACTGAGTTGTTCAAAGGTCCATCTAACCTCAGCCCCATGACCTCCAGAAATCCTTTCCAATGTTATCCATTCTGTGGTTCTGTGAATCATGACCCCAGCATCCCTTCCAGGTCCTGATGCCCAGAATGAAAGTACCCCCTTCCCCCCCAACTTTGGATTTGGTCCAACAAAACTGTGCTTCAGAGAGCAGAAAAAGCATCAACAGAAAGGGCTGCTTGCAGCCATCTTTTGAAGATGCTTTGTCTCACCTATCTACAGGAATCTGCTTACAACACCATTTCTTTTACCCTTCCTTCCCTAAATTTCACTCACTGTGCAGTCAGCCATTGGCACAGAGGAGGAACAACTGCTCAGGATGTTTATAGATAAGAGTAATCGGCACTCTGTCCAAACAGTTCCTTCCTTGGGAAATGCTCTTGGCAGTTTCTTTAAAACTGGTCCATTCTAAACCATTCAAAACTCTCAGGATAAGGCTGAATATCCCCTTCCTAAAGGTAACTTTATCACAGTTCATTATTCAGCATGACTTGGAAAATCAGAGCAAACATGCACTGAGTATTTTGTCACTGCTGATGACACACTGGGAGAACAAAGCTCTCAAAACAGGTGGGGTGGGAGTAGCTTTGGTCTGAATAGGATGGGGGCACAGATTATTACAGTGTCCCATAGCCTGTAGGCACCCTATGACAGGTGGAGCTCACTGCCAGAGGCTCTGGCCCTTAGTCCCCAGTTAATCTATACCTAACACCTCTGAGCTGCACCATACCTCTTATGCCCCATTCTCCACTCCTAATTGCACCACATCAACCTCACCATCTCCATCAGCTGCAAAGACTGAGTGATACAGCTCTTGCACCATGTCACTCAGGATAACCATCCCAGGAAGCTGGGAGGAGGCTACTTCAGAGATCAAGCCAGCAGCTAGATCTTCCTACTTCCACCTCAGCTACAGTCCCATTACACACAGGTTGCCACTGCTGTCAATAATGCTATCACAAAGAACTGGGATCCATGCCACAGAGCAGCTTATAGCTCAGTGCTGCTGGCAGGAAGCACGGCACACACCAGCTGCCCAAGGAGGATCTTGCTGTCTGCACTGGATTCTGTGCATTTGCCCACACAGCACAGGTGTGCATCATGATTGTTCAGTCATCACAGCAGTGCTGTTCTCTGTAACTCAACAGACAGTGCAGCCCTTGAGATCAGATGTTTCCTGGTGATGCTTGGTATGGCTGTAAAAAGAGTTTCATCCCAGAGTCTGAACAGGAGGTGGAAGAATATGAGGGTGGCAAGATGTATGCTCAAAGAATGTTTATAGATCCAAGTATTTTCACTCCTGTAAAAACTTGCCCGAACTCAAAAGGGCAGATGACATAAACTGGTATCACTTGAAAGTTTAGCCTTGAACCAACATCTCCAGATCATCCACGGAAAAGCCCCAGTTCTGGAATTGTCTGCATCTTAACATCAATGCATGGCACAAAGATGAGGAAGAACTGCTGCAATTGACATGGATGTCTGAAGTGTTTGGCCAACTCCATGAGGCATTCGGGTGCCTTTGGTTTTAGTTCTGCAAGTAAGCCTTTGCTCTTTGCAGTCCTTCCTTCAGAAACTGGAGGTAAGTTGCAGTAGAAGGGTCATCAAAATTGGATGAGAAACTAAAGATACTACTTTCAACATCTTCAGGCTTCATAGAAGTAATATCCAGGAAGTAGTTGGCGTTGATATGGTGAATCTAGGAGAGAAAACAGATGAGAAGACTTTAAAGGCCAGCACAATCTCTCATCCACTGCCTCTGCCTCTAGCCATGGCACAGGTGACAAGACTGCAACAACTCTTACAGAATCTCAAATACTTTGCAAATGCTATTTCAGCATCTAGGATTCGGGTTTCACAGTCAGACAAAGATGAACAAGACAATGATCCATTCTTTCCCTTGAGAGTGCTGACCCCTCATTTAGGTTAAGAAAAATATGAAGGTGATTTGGGAGAAATCACACAGATATGAAACTTAGCTATGAGTGCAAGTCAGCACATGGCAGCCCAGCCACACTGACTGCTGGGGTGCATACTATCAGACCAGCCTACATGCAAAACCAGCACATGTGTTTACAATGCCTTCCATTCTCCAAAGGAAATAGGATAGGGGCCCACAGAGTCACTGTGTCACCCATGAGAACAACACACAGTCCTACAAAGCATTGAGGAGCCAGAGAATGGCTGAGGGAGCATGGCATTCACTTCAAGCTCTGCAGATGAGAGTATATTCTGGTGGGGAGAACCAAGGAAAATTGAAGAGGTAATGATCGTACCACCGTGCCGTTGGGAAGGCAGATGATCATTTCCACAGGGAAGTTGTATTTTTCAAGGTGCAGGTCAGCCAGCTTGCTGTAGAACTCATTCTCCCTGTTTGTCTGTAAAGGAACCCCAAAGAAACACACTTGTATACACCAAAACCAGCAGAAGAAAGCAGGAAGAGTAAACCTAACATGAGAGCCACTCCATAACATGGTAGCTGCCTCCATTTTCATGATCTGCTTTACTATTCCCTTGCAAGTGTCCCCAACCCTCACACTTTGCTGCAGCCTTTCTCCTCCAAAAATAAAATCATCCCATTACTGGCAGTTCCCAGGCACATGAACAGTTCAAGCCCAGTTTTTCCCAGCATCTCCAACTCTGTAACTGACCCCTGCTGACAGCAAAGGCTGAGGGATAAACTCATGAGTGAGAAAAGGTGCAGTCAGGAGATCCAGGAGTCAGAGAGCATTTGGTTACTCCCTGGGTTGCAGAAAAGTCAGCCTGCCAATAGCACAACAAGCCCTGGACAGGGCTTGAAGCATCTGGGAGCAGTGAAACATCTGGTTTGGTTTTTTGTACCACCACCAGGACAGAGTGAAAGGATGACTGTGCTATTTTCTTAGCCAGCCTCTATCTGGTGTTTGTTTTACCATTGTGGTTATTAGAACACGCAGGGCTTGGAACCAAAATCCCTCATCTGCACAGGTGTGATCTCCCCTCTTCTGCCAGCACCTCTGTGCCAAGCACCACCTGCGTTCACCAGCACCAAACACAAAGAAAGCAGAAGGGACTGTAACACTCACCTGCAGCTCTTCCAGCTCCTTTACAAGTGACCAGCTGCTAATGAAGCTCTCATTCAGCAGGGCGAGGATGGGCGAACTTTCCAGGACAGTCTCCCGGAGAGTTCGCCCTGAACCTGGCACACAAAGAGAGGCAGACAGTTGTTTGCAGTGACTCCCAGGCTGATTATTACCACGATTCATGCCACTGCCAAGCTGCTGCAGCAGCTGCCTTAGGCTCCCCCTAACCTGGCACATGGTCTTATTTCCCCTCTGCTGACAGTTTTCCATAGCTTACTGCTTCCAGTGTATGCTGCTGATAAAGAAGACTCACCAGAGCAGATCCTACTCACCTGCAAAACATCACAAGGACCAGGGCAAGAATGTCACGGGGGCTGACCAGTTTGGTGTTTTTCAGAAAAGATCAGACCCTGCACACTCACCCTGAGTGCCTCTTGCTTTTCACACTAAGCAGAACAATCTGCTTAGAGAGTTTTTAAAGGCAGACAGGACAAAGATATCCACACCTCTCCCAAACATTACTCCTATCTATGTAGCACACAAGTTATTGGGCACATGGAGGGATAGTTACACAGAAGGACAATTTCAGGCCCACGCCTGGCTCTGGCTTCTCCCATGCAGATGTCAGGGACAAAGCAGAGAGCAGTGTCTCTTTAACTCTGCAGATGCTGCCTCTATCTCAGCAGACTGAGAAGGGAAGAGGGAAGACCAAATCTACAACTCCACCTCAACAAAGGCACCTAAATTACTGAATCACCTAGGGCTTTTCTCTAATAGAACTAATCTCACCACTGGGTATCTAAGCTCTGATCAGTAATTCCCCACTTCCAACCCTTTTCTATCCAGGCATATTCAGTACCAAAATAAGTAATATAACATTTACCACTGGCTCCCTGACCAGCTTCCTGACATTCAGCCCTTCTCAGACCCAGAATGAGGTACATCATTCCTCCAGCTGTTGTGGTAGAGTCCCTCACCTCAGCAGGACTGGTCATCCAGGGCACCCCACAGCAGGATTGAGTGCACCAGCTTCTTTTCTGCTTTTGCTCTCTCAAAAGCTTCTGTGAAGGGAAGATAGGAGACCTGGAGACAGATAGGAGACTTGAGAAACAAAGAACAGCCTATCTCAAATACAAACAGGATCTGAAGGAACCAAATCTTCCACACCCCAGAGATGGCATACAATGACCCACAGCAGTTCCTATAAATCAAAGCAAATTCTAACTCTGGTGCTCTTTCCAAGAGGATTTTTATCTTCCCTCACTACAGAGACTTCCTTGGCAAGAACAATCTCTTTTCCTGCTGACTTTCAGCTGCTCATCTCATTATTGCTGCTCAAGTAGAATGCAGCAAGGCATAGCAAGTCTGAAGCATTAACTGTGTTACCATGTGACCCACAGTCATTCCTTTAGGAAACGTTCAGGAAGATAAAATTACCCTCAGGCCTGACAAACAGCTGAGGATACAGTGAGATTGTAACAAACCCCTCATAGCAAGTGGGCTTTTATTTGCACACCCAACTTTACACGCTGCAGACAGCCTCCAGATGTGCCTCTGCAGGCTGGGGAACCTGAACTTGAGAAATTTATCACAAAATTTCACTGAAACAGCTTAAAAAATGTCTGAGAAGGACCCTGCACAGAGAATGTTACTCAAATGAAGGGAATTTTATCGCCAATTGAGGTGAAAGTGAGATTTGCAAGCTCAAGCACAAGGAGACAGTCATTGGAGCATTCCTTGGCCAAGGAAGGAGTGACAGGCAGCTGCCATCTGTTCCACAGGCTATTGTCATATTAAATAGTTTCTATATATAACCCAATGCTATAAAGCTGTGGTCACTGTAGGATGCAGCAGCATAGGGAGCACACACTGAGTTGCTCATACCACTCTGAATGCTGATCAGGTTGTGGCCTCTGGTTTCTGCTGGTCCTCAAAGTGACTGAACATCTCAGTAAAAATGACTTGCCTCAGTAAAACATGCCAAAGAAAAGTACAGCCTGTTCCTCACCTTCTTAAATGGATACATGGCCACTTCCAGCTTCTGGGCTGCCTCTTCCCAGGAGATTTCCTGCTGCCAGGTTATCTCTTCAAACACAAACTGAATAGGCTCCCCTGAGGGATCCCTGCTGTCAATCACATTTCCATTCTCATCATAGATCATAGAGGGGACTGAGGGCCCTGTGGATTCCAGCTCCATCTGCAGGAGAAGAGGCTCAGAGTCAGACATTGTAGATATTCAGCTATGGGTTTTTCTGTACACCAGGACAGGATAAAGATGCAAATTAAGATTTTACAGTTCCTAATGAAGATAGAGACCTATCTCTCCTGGAGCTGCACCTGAACAACTGTAGATTTGTTTTATTGGGGAATAACAGGAAGGCAACTTCATTTCCGTCAGTTATTGTTTGCCTGTGCTATCTAGATTGGAAATGCATGAGACTTGTTCATTATGTGTTGCTATCTTCTGAGTGGAGATTATTGACTATGGCATATCAGACCCTCAAAATGATTAGAATCTGCAGAGCTAATCTTGTTCACATGATCAGCAAAACCTTTATACAGTCTGTGCCTATAGCCACAAGAAAGTGCAACAAAGAAAGCTGTTCAGGAGCTTCCCTGTAGTTCAGACTCCTGGTACAATGAAACTATTTTTTAAGTCTGTTTTCACTAATTTTGCTGATTAAAAATAAATATGGAATTTAGTTCAGGAGAAAAATAAGACTGTTAAATTCAGGTATTCAAAATTCTGACTCATGTTTCCTGTCCCAAGAACTGGGATTACCACAAAATAGAGGAATAAGCTCATGCAGTTTCTAAATGCAGACTGTTGTACATACAGCCCTCTGGGCTCAGAGCCTGCGTTCAGCTCCCTCACCCCTTCTGCCTGTCAGTCAACTCTTTAAAAATAGAAAAATTCATGTGACTCCAGGAGGTTAAGATTCAACCCCCAGAGACCAACAGAGGGGTGTAAAAAGATCATAAGAGTTGGAAATAGTCATGTTGCTGCAAAGGACATATACAGATCAACAGAGAATATATTATTATATTGAAGCATTCAACAGAAAGCTCTAACTACCAAGGATAACTGAGGTTATGCAGCTCAGGCACACCGCAGCATAAATCCTTGCCAAGATCCAGCATGCACACAGAGGACTGAGTGTGGTTACAGACCTGAGGCAGGTAACCTATATCCACTTCCATGTTGCTGCCTTCACTCGCTCCATACAGCCACTCCATATCAACATTCAGAGACCTGCAAGGTGAACCCAGAATGTTCAGCCACCCAAGGCTAAAGTTGTGCATGGAAAATCCTAATGCTTTTCTTCAATGACCCACACTGAGGCTCAGAACCTGTCGGTTCTTAGAGATCACAGTGTTTCCTGCACAAGATCAGCAACAGTAGATCCCTGCTGGCTCAGGGCCCAAACACCCACCCAACATTTCAGGCAAATGCATTCATACATTTGAGTAGCATCAAAGTAAAGAGAGAGGTATATTTGCACATCCTTCCCTGCCAGCACTTGACTTGCACATTCTGATCCATCTGAACTTTTAAAAGTGTTTTGTTTTTTTGTAAGCAGAAGGCTTTTTGTAAAGAGTTCTGGCAGAGCTGTAAGTGTCTGCTTGCTCTACTGAATGTGCTGACAGAGCCATAAGGACAGAGACACCAGGATTTTAAAATGTAATTTTCTCTCCTGCCATCACAAGCAAAGAGAATTGAAGCTCCTTTCCCCCAGAACACTTCCAGCTGCTTGCCAGAGAGCAGGAATGAGCTGGTGTTAAACTACGCCATAAAACGAAATGACAAGCAGAAATGTTTTGAAGTGTGTGCATCAGACTCTGCTGAACTTCAGGGCTTTCAGCCAGACACTGAGATCATCAGGGGCTGCTGCCTCTTCAGACCCTTTCCAGCTCTCCCCATGCTCCAAGTACAAAGGTACAGTTCCTGGTGTATGAATCAGACCCTAAAATAAGTCAGGGATTCTCAGTAACTGCAGAGATGCATTTGCTGGTATTACAGGCAACTGTAAAGCTCATTTCACTCAGATTTTCCAAGGAGTTGGCTGAAAAGCATCAGCTCATCCAGCTGACACCCAAGCTTGCAACAAGCCTTTGACTTCTCCAAGTGTCCTGGCCACAAGCAGGGGCTGCAGGGACAGGTTAGAGGATCACAGCCAGCCTGAAGCAGTGCTGATAATGAAGAGGCTGCTGTCTGTCTCTAGGGCAATATCAGGAAAACATAAACTCACCATTCCCTTGTGTCTTTCCAAGTGGCTGCAGATACCTCCCTTCTGAGGTGGTGTGGCACAGTACAGCTCAGACTTGGATTCTCATTACAGTCAGGTTATACAAAGACATCAATCCCCTAGCCCCATTCATGCTCTGTGTCTCCTGTAATCTCTGCCCAGCTGTCCCTCCCTCCCTCCTCAGTCCTTGTCCTTCTCTGCCTCTCCCAGGCCTGATGCTCCCCCCTCACACCTGTTGATAAGCAGAAGTATTCCTGAAAATACGGCATCAGATCCAGTTTAGGGAACAGTTCTACCTACAGAAAACATGACAACCATGATGAACACTAGCAGAGAAGGATGTGCAAACAAAACAGAAGGAAACAGCAAAACTATCAGGCATAAAGCTCAGACTGCAGATCTGTCTTTCCTGTACAGGCCAGGACAACCACATACCACAGTGCTCTGCTCAGGGCTGTCACTGCACCCATATTTTCAAGTAAAAAGAGTACACCAGCCTTCTCCCATGCACAGTCTCCACGTTTGCTTTGTACAGTACAGAATCCCAGAGTCCCTGGGCTTCATTTACCACAACCCTCAAGTCTGTTCAGCACACAAAATAAACTGCTGTACCTCTTGTTAGGGACAAAGAGCTTAAACTCTCGCACGTGAGAAGAATCCTTGGAGAGGACAATGTAACCTGTGAACTGGCCTGGGGAAAACCAGAAGGGGAAGTCTGGTGGCTCGTTCAGCTGGAACTCAGCATGGATCCTGAAACGAGATGGGAGCCATCAGCTCCAGAGCTGGGAGGAAGGAATCGTGCACTGCAAATGACAGCAGAGAGAAGTGATCTGCAGGCACCAGAAAGTACAACTGCAGGAGAGAGGTTCGGTTCAAAAAGCTTTTCATGTCACACAACAAAGAAGGTAAAACTGGAGCACATTCCCAGGGTCAGCAGTGTCGCTGGTACTGATGCCTTTTGGAAGTGGGCAACAGGTGTACACCCAGCAAGGATGAATTACATTATGAGCCCTTGAAACACAGAAACAAACTCAGATGCCCTCAGTCTCCCTTCCAGTCTAACTGGGCAAGTAACATTTGTATTTAACAAAGACAGTAAAACATGAAAACAATTCCACAGAATCCTCCCTTCCCTTGGAGAAACACACTATCCCCCCTCTTCCTACTCAGAATTTCAATCAAGGATGCTGTGACCCTGGCAGAACACAGGTGCCCCCTTCAGGCCTCAGGAAAGCATCACACACAGCTGCTCTCATCCAACTCCAGCCAGGGCACATCTCATCTAGTCTGGGAACAGGACTGCAAACAAACAACACGCATGCTCTCTGGCACATCGCAGCCTTCTTCAATCCCCTGAGATATGGTACAAACCAGAAGTGTCCCCTTCTCTAACAGGCTGGCCCCATGCCCTTACCTGAATGCTATGGTATAGTAGTAGGTGCTGATGGCTTGGATACAGGCCACGGATCCTTGGGGAGCAAAGCGGGTTTTGACGAAGGGGCGTGGGTGGAACATGCTCAGAAGCCTGTGGATTATGATCTATGGCAAGAATTGGAACAGAGTAAGAATGACAGCACTTTGCCTATCGCAGATAACAGGTCAGATGCAGCTCCAAAACAACTCCCCCTCAGATCAGGAATACAGAAGACTTGCTGAGACTCAAAAATTAGCTTGGAGTCCTACTGGCCACAAAACAAGGAGATAAAGCTAGAGGCTTTCTTTCAAAATAAATCCATCTTCCATGTTTTTTAATGCTATTCCTGTTGTTCACAAGATTCCATTATCCCAGTTGGGTGAATGAGCATGCTAAACTGATCCACGAAGCCGTATCTAATCAATACTCCTTAAGAGAGAGTAAGCAATCAATAAACACAGACTGTGAAGACGTATCAGCTATGTGATCAGGGACACCTGTTTGGGCACCCACACTGGCTTTACAACTAGACTAAGAAGTCATAAAGCAAAATGAAGTTCCTCCAGTCAGCCTTACAAATGAAAGATACCCCAAATGTTGCCTGCTTTCAGTTTTTACCTCTGATTTAGAAGACAGTGCTCCTGGCTGTACCCTGCAGCCTTTCTGCTGCCTTGGAAAGTCCAGTGAGACATAATGCAATAGCCTCATCCATTCAATTTATCTGGGCTATAAAGCAGTACACATTCATACAAGCCACGTCTCAGATATATGGGAATCAAATTTCGTATCTCACCTCTTTGCCTTTGGGAGGTGGAGGGTAAAACCTGTTGTTGGAAAGATATCCAGTGAAGATGTTCAATTCACTAGGAATTATCCACCACGGATCGCCAAGATCAAGTTTATTCTTTGGAGGAAGAAAGGCTTTAAACTGTCTGGCAAGCATCACACTCTTAGGGGACACAGGAGCAGTCCAATTCCTCAGCCCAGAAAGAGCAACGTGAGAGATCTGTCAAAAGATAGCATCAGAGCCCAGCCTACAGCCCTCACACACACAGCAATGTAACTGTGCTTAAGAGGAGAAAGAAAAAAAATATCATATTTTCAATTCTTTGCACCACCCTGAACACCATCAAACAGTTCTGTCAGCTTTCAATTATGTGAGCAAAATGGGGGGCAGTGAACAGGGCACAACATCACTGCTTGTGGTGGAACCACCTCTGGTGTCTGCTTCAAGCTTCCCAGGAAGAGCAGAGCATTCATTCATTGGGACACAGTGGGGCTGAATGCACTGAAAACAATACAACACTGCTGAAAGCTGCAAGCTTCCTGGTCAAAGCACACATCTAGACAAAAACAATGTGATGGGTGAACAACTGGCAGACAAAGGGGTAAGGGAAATGGGTCACACCAGGCTGGTGACCAATCACTGGTGGAATTCCATAGGGCTCCATTTTAGGGCCAGTTCTCATTGTTTCAATCAATGACTCGGGTGCAGGACTTGAAGCTGAGTGAGTCTGCGGGTGACATTAAACTGAGAGAAGATGCTGACTGTCTCAAGGGTAGAGAGGCCTTGCCTGTGCTCATTTCTGGTGATGCTAGCAGCCCATAGTTTGTGGTTACATTGGTATTTCTGGCCCTATACATCCTGCAGGATACGTACTCCCAAGAAACCATCTTTGCTCTTTGTCATCGTTTCCATGACCAAAGGCTGGAATTTAGCCACAATGGACAAGGTCTCCCCATTTGGATCAGGCACATCCTCTTCAAAGTCTGAGACCGGAGTAACTCCTAGACAAGGAGACAGAAATTAAAGCAGCTGTTTCCCCTCCCTCCCCTCTTAAACCACGGTGAAGTGATTATACATTTTTCCTGGCTAATCTAGGAACACTGGGAGCTTCCCAGCAGTCACTACACTGCATGCAATGGGGAACTCACCAGAACTTGCAGCCACACCTGGCTTTTGCTACATGAATTAAATGGGAGCCCTTCTTTCAGTGGATGACACTCTAAACCCTATGGCTGTTACACGCTCTTATCTAAACTAGGAGGGAAAAGACATGTGCTTCAGTCAATTCATTAAACATAAGCAAACAACTCTCTGTATTCCAATTGTACTGTTAAGTTCTGCTGGATGTTATTATCACCACGCTTCCCCCTGCTTGACAACACCAAGAGACATTTGCTATGTGCTGATACAGCCTCCAAACACGAGCTCTTCCAGCTGCTATGAGAGAGAATGCTGCAGCAAGAGAAGCATACGATTGAAATAGGATTCACTGACAGTATTGGCCTAGCCTGGGCTGAGCTGTATTTGTTGCATTTATCCATCCCAAATCTCCTATAAGCTCCAGACAAAGTAACTTACACGCTCTGCTAGGCCAGAAATGGGACCTTTAGTCTTATAAAAACTGAACTTTGTGAAAGTAGCATCTAATGCTTAAGTCTTTTCTCAAGCAGTCTCTCTTCATGTAAGCAAGATCCAAAACAGCACCCAGAAAAAAAAAATAAAGACGTCAATAAAAATTGTTTCTGCTCAGTCTGTGCAGAGAGAGCTCTGCATGGCAGGCAGAAATGTACCTGTCAGCTTCTCAGCTATGGGCTTGAACTCTTCTGGGCTGAGGTACAGATCGTTGTTTGTGTCCAGAGAAGAAAAGAGAAACAGCCCCTCACTGCCCAAAGACTTCAGCGCCAGCTCCTACATTGGGAAGAAAGGGGAAGTGAGGATCACTGCTACCTCTCCCAGACATTCATTCTGAGCACTCTCAGCTTCAGAGTTAATTTGCATTCTTTCCAGACCACAAGCAGTGATCAAATGAAAAGATTAACATCCCTTGGCAAGATTTTGTCTCCTATGTCATGACTGGGCCAAGATTTTGGCTCCTTGCTCCACAGGCACCACTACCTACATCAGGAACCACAACTCAACCACCTTCTCCAGAGTCTCCTGTAAGATCCCTGTGCCTCAGTCTCTCCCTCTGTAACACGTGGTGGGACAGCCTGCAAAGCCCACATGGAGATCTCCCAATGGCAAACAGCAATGACATGCACTGAAATGCAAAGTCTCACTTGAAATGGCCCCAGAAAGGCTAGATTCTGCTAGGCTTTTCCACTCTGCAGCACTTATCATTGACAGAAAAAGAACAACTTGCATGCAGGGCAAGAGAGCTCCGCATTGCTGTGAAGGAAAGGGACAGAAGACAGACAAGTCGCATCGCTCGCAGCCAGCAGATCCCACCTATCGTTTTGGGGCAGCTTCCCCTGCCACCCCAGCAAACATCTGAAGGACAAATACTGTCATCTGCTGTTCAACTGTTTATTGTTTACTGCACCATTATCATCCCCACAGCTCCTGAACTAGTTTATTTCCCTGTCTGTTACCTGCCAGTCAGGAGCAGCAGTAATGCAGCCCAGAAGGCTGTGCTCCCATCACCTGCAGCAACAGAAGCACTTAAGAGCCTCCCAGGGTGGTTTCAGGACTGAGCAGATAGAAAAGTAAAGACAGTGGAATACAAACCAGAGATCTGGACTCAGACATGACTGAATAAAGGTGATAATACAGAACATGGAATGTGGAGAAGAGTACACAGGAACTACGCAGCTGCAAATAGGAGTAAAGAAACACGAGGGTTATTTATCTACTGAGAGCAGCAACCCATTCAGGAATCCCCATGTTTCTAGAGCCCAAACCATGCCTTTATTCCCCAGGTGAATGGGGACAAACATACATGGGGCTCTACATAACATTTTCCTGAGCAGCTGCCCTGTTAGCTGAGAGCCAGGTGACAGGGTGATATCATGAAGTGCTGGACCAGGCTCCAGATCTTGTTTGGGCATGGCACATCCTGCACCATCCTTACAGTGCAGTCAAGTGTATAGGCTGTGCACAATGGCAACCTCTGCACAGGAGGCCATCCAGGCTGTGTGCTAAGCTCTAATGAGATGGGTCACATCCTAGGCCCATCAATGATTCCCTGCTGATGATTCTTTCAAAGCCTCCCTCTTCTTCTGCACTTCACAGAGACGGACCTCCAGGGATGGAAGGCAAATGAGCAACAAAGATTTTAGCTGGTGAGACCACCTGCTGCTGTAGCATTAGAAAAACGACATGATAATTTGCTTAACAGGGCTGGAGGCAGAATCAGTTATGTCCCACACATGCAGAACATTTCTGAGCAGTGAAGGCAGCAGAATATGAGGAAGGGAATGTGGGTGCCAGGTGTTAAAACGGTACCATCTATCAGTCCATAAGAATGGAGAGCATACTCCAAGAAACAGAACCACGTGCTTTAAGCAAGCTGAAGAACAGTTAAAAACTTTGTTCTGTTCACATTTTTTCTCATCTCCAGCACTGCCCAGTCACAACCTGCCACAACACTGATCCTGTGGCCACCAATCCCTGGCTGCCTTCACAGCCCACTGGGAGCCAACAGCACATCTGGAATCACCTCAGCATGGCAACCATTGCCATCATCCTGGTGACCATCTCTACCACAGTGGCCACCTCAGCCCCACGATGGTGCCCTCAGCACTGTGATCACAGAATCACAGAATGTCAGAGATTGGATCTCCCTGTGAGAGCAAGAGCACGTGGATCAGGTCACATAGGAATGCACCCAGGTGGGTTTTGAATCTTTCCACAGATGGAGACCGCACAATATCTCTGGGCATCCTGTTATTACTCTTACTGTGATGAAGTTTTTTTTCTCATATTTATGTGGAACCTCCTATGTTCCAGCTTGCAGCCCTTGTCCCATCATTGGATGTCACTGAGAAAAGCCTGGCTCCATCCTCCTGACACCCTTTACATATTTATCAACATCAATGAGGTCACCCCTCAGCTTCCACCAAACTAAAGATACCCTTCTCCCTCAGCCTTTCCTCATAAGGGAGATGTCCCTTCATCACTGTCGTGGCTCTGCGCTGGAATCTCTCAAGCAGTTCCCTGTTCTTGAACTGAAGGGCAGTGATGGGCCCCTCAACCTCATGATGGCCACCATGGCTGTGTGATGGCCACCTCATCCCAATGATGGCCACCTAAGCCTTATGATGGCCACTTCATCCCAGTGATGGCCACCTCAGTGCTGCAATGGACCCCTCAGCCTCATGATGGCCACCTCAGCTGTATGAACATCACCTCATCCCTGCAATGGCCACCTCAATCCCCTAACAGACCCCATAGCCTCATGATGGCCACTTCAGCTGCGTGATTGCCACCTCAGCCCCATAACAGACCCTTCAGTGCTGTGATGGACTCCTCAGCCTCATCATGGCCACCTCAGCCCTGCAATGGCCACCTCAGCCCTGCAATGGCCACCTCAACTTTGTGATGGCCACCTCAGCACTGTGACAGACCCCTCAGCTCCATGATAACCACCTCAGCCCCACCATGGACCTCTCAGGCTCATGATGGCCACCTCAGCTGTGTGAACGTCACCTCAGCCCTGCAATGGCCACCACAGCCCCATAACAGACCCCATAGCCTCATGATGGCCACTTCAGCTGTGTGAATGTCACCTCAGCCCCATAACAGACCCTTCAGTGCTGTGATGGACTCCTCAGCCTCACCATGGCCACTTCAGCCCTGCAATGGCCACCTCAACTGTGTGGTGGCCAACTCAGCCCCGTGACAGACCCCTCAGCTCCATGATAACCACCTCAGCCTCACCACGGACCCCTCAGCCTCATGATGGCCACCTCAGCTGTGTGAACGTCACCTCAGCCCTGCAATGGCCACCTCAACTGTGTGGTGGCCACCTTAGCCCTGTGATGGCCACCTCAGCTCCGCGATAACCACCTCAGCCCCACCATGGACCCCTCAGACTCATGATGGCCACCTCAGCTGTGTGAATGTCACCTCAGCTGTATGAATGTCACCTCAGCCCTGTGACAGACCCCTCAGTCCCATTACGGCCACTTCACACGCCCCCCTCACCCCCATCACGGACCCCCAGCCCCGCAGTTCCCTCACTCCGCTCCAACCACCCCCACCTCAGCCCGCTTTACTCCAGCTCCCGCCACAGCTGCGGGGCGGCCACCCGAACCCTCACTTCTCCCTCAGCCCCATCGCGGATTCGCTCCGCCCGCCATTTCCGGAGCAGCCCAAGCCGCCGTCCCGTTACCTGCTGCCGGGCGGCCTCGGCGTCTCGGTAATACTTAACGGCGGCCAGCGCTGCCAAGGCGGCCAGGGCCAGCGCCAGCCGCGACGGAGCCGCGCCGGGAACCGCCATGGGCCGAGCGCTCAGCGGCGCCGCTCCGCCATGGCCGCGGCGGGAGGAGCCGGGCTGAGGGAAGGGCTCCGCCCGCCCGCGAGGCCCCGAGGGGTGAGAGGAAAAAACGTGCCTTCGTGCTTCGCAGCCGCTGTGATTTGTTGGAAAAGACCTTCAGGATCGTCAAATCCACCGCAGTTTAAGCGTACGGAACTCTGACAGCGCTCCGCTAAATCGCGGCCCCGAGCATCCGGACGGATTTTGAACGCATCCAGGGGTGGTGACTCCAACACCTCCTGGGGAGCCCATCCCGGCGCTTAACGACCCTTTCTGTGGAGAAGTTTTTCCTCACATCCAACCTAAACCTCCCCTGGTGACACTCGAGGCCACGTCCTGTCAGCTGTCAGCCCTGCTCCCACAATCACCTTACAGATACTTGAGGATATCAGCTCTCCCCTCAGCCTCCTCTTTTCCAACCTGACCCATCCCAATTTCCACAGCTGCTCATCACACACCTGTCCTCCTGTCCCTTTTAAGGTCAGTACAAATTTCACTTGCATCCCTTTCACAGGGATTTAAGACCCATGGCTATAATGGCTCGGTCGCTTTGCAGCCACAGGACAATTCTCACCTGCATTCTAAATGGATGCCATCACCTGCTGCCATCCCTGCTCCTTGCACCTCAGTCTTTGAGCCCTTCCCACCACCCTCACCCTGGTTATGGACATCAGTGACACCACAAACTCTGACACACTGAGTTCTTTGTGCTCCTCTGTGTGGTTGTTGCATCGCTTCTTAGCACTCGCTTGGCCAAGAGGTGTATATTTAGTCATTTTCATCTTTTCCCTATCAGTCAGTCTCCTGCTCTTCCCTACACTGCACTGCACTGAAATCTTCATTGCTCAGGAAGATTTAGTGCCGTGTTTTGGTGCTGCAGGGTTGGCACTGCAGGATGGTTGAGCTCCCTGAGGGCAGCAGGAAGCAGTAGCATTTAATCTTGTGAAGCTTTTGCTGTTTCCTAAGCCTTCCTAATCATTTCTGTTTTAGGTTTAAGGAGTGTTTTGATTAGAGGGCGAGACCAAAAGCCATGAAGACGGCAGTGAGAGTTGCTCAAGGAAGAGGCTGGTAACCCTGAACAAAAGCCAGGAGCGTGGAGTTGTGAGAAATCCCCAGGACCAGCAAAAAAGCACAGTGCGTTTTCATAGGAACAGAGTAGTGCTGCACACAGGTTTGGACTGGGAGATAAGTGGTTGGAGAGCTGCTTGACAGCAGTCTCAGTCTGAACCTATGTATTCTGGGGTGCATTAAACACAGTACAAACAGCCACTCAAAAGGGGAGATTCTCACATATTTACCATTGGTCTGGCCTCACTTCGAATACTGTGTGCTGTTCTCAATTTAAAGAGGGTGTTAAGATGCTTGAATGTGTCCAGAGGAACACAACAAAGCTGGTAAAAGGGTAGGAATGAATGTCCTATGAGAAGCACCTGAGGACACTGTGTGTGAAGCCTGCAGGAGAGGTTGAGGTGTCACCTCACTGCTCTGCACAACTTTGTGAGGAAGCGAAGCGTTCATCTTTCCTCCCTGGTATCAGCAGCAGGATGCACAGCAATGGCACAAAGCTGTGTTAGGGGAGGTTCAGACTGGACATCAGGAATAACTTATTTACTATGAAAGTAGTTAGACACTAGAACTGACTTCATAGAGAGATGGCTGTCCATGATTAAGAGGCATTTGGATAACGCCCTTCAACGTAATTTAACTTTGGTTCAGTTCCAGAGTAGTCTGCCAGCTGGAAGGGACCTACCAACAAAGATTATTGAGTCCAACTGAAACTATTCTATTCTAAACACAATGCACTAGAATGGGGCACCCAGTAATGCATAAACAGACATTATTTACCACTCAGATCAGTGCTGTTACATCTGCATGGCAGAGGGAGGGAGGGGAGGGCTCCTTCTGCCACCCTTTAGAAGAAAGTGTTCACAAAACTCTATCACTGCTTTTTGCCCCATCAGTCAAAGAGCAGAGCTTGGGCTGTGGGGAAGAAATGGGAAGAACAGAATTAACAAAGCACTGAAATAATGGTTAGGAGTAGAGACGATGGTGATTGAGTTGGTCTCCAGTCAAGAAGCTGTGCTTTAAACTTTCCTAGATTCACCAGGTTGGACAGAGAAGTGTAAAGAGCTTCAGTTTACCTCAAGTAACCTAGCAAGTGCTTTTAGAGCATAAACTATAACAGGATGAGACAGCTTTGAAACAGGATAAATATACCTGAGTGTCTGGGAAATGAGCAAGAGGTGACATGAAATGACAGAGCCTGCAGATGGAAAAGGAGACCTGATAGAGTGGCTGGCAGAGCCAAAATGGTATCGTGTAGATAAGAAGCAGAGAGGCTCATTTTATACCTGAACCATTTCCAGCGTCATCAGCGAGCATATAGCAAATGACAGAGTTGAATTATTTGGTAGGAAGAAGAATGAAAGACAAAAGGTGAAGTAATTCAGGGCATCTGCTGGGAACCAATTCTCCTCAAAGGAGAACAAAACCAACTTCTGGCTCTGTGCTGCTGGTTCTTGAAATTATACATTACAGTACTGAGGAAGAATTTCAAATATTCAGACATCTGCGGAGTGGCCCACCCAGGCACCCTTGTTTCAAAGGAAATCCTCCTGATAGAGAAATAATGAGGAAGATTTCCATCATGAAAATTCACCCAGCAGGAAAATACTGTCATGCATTCCTCTTCTCCCAGCAGGGAGAGTCCAGACAAAAGCAAGAAAAAATAGGAAGAGCTTGGTAACAGAAATGGAAAGCTTGTATTGAGCTTTTTTGGAATAGGACAGGTTTTCTGTACTCCAGAATACACAGAGCACCTCCACGTTCTAGAGTGGTATGATCTGAAAAGAGAGAAACCCCATCCTCATTTAAATTTATGGCCTCATTCCCATAGCCTGGAACTTGGCCTGTTTTAAAGTCAAAGTGATCATTACGTAATGGAAGGCAGCGTTGAAATCGGAGCTCTGCCCACAAATGAACAAAGTACCTGGAAACAGAACAGCCCCTGAGGAAGTGAGTGCTGGTCAGACTGCAGCCCAAAAAATCCTTTGGAAAGCAGGAAGGAACGGGGAGTATTGAAGTCTGGCTTCACATGGGGCCTCTCAAAGGGAATAAGAATTACTGAGATGCATTTATTGCAGCTTGCGTCTCATGGTAGATGCACTGTGACACAAAACTATACAGGCAGACATGAGAAACACATTTCACCCTAGAAAAGGAATGGGCAGTGAAGCTGCAGTGTTTATTTTGGTTCAGACATTTCAAAAGAAAGCATTCTGTAGAAGAGTATGAACCAACACCTTCCAAATTCCCATCTGCTTGCATTCCTCACTTTCATCTTCAATCCATTCCAGCAAGTTACTCACATGGGCTCTATAATCAAAAGCACTGACAATGCAAGGGTGTTTAATTGAAAGGATTCCTGATTCTACGATTCTAACTACCCATTTCTATGCAGAATGAAGCCACAGACCCAAGTGCAATGAGAAGTAGCAGCTGGAACTTTGAAACTGCTAGCTCTGGTAGCTGGAGCTCAATACATCATACATGAAACAATCAGATATGCATTTATTTTCTGGTTTGCTTTGTCTTATTCCTTTGTACAGTCAATTGGCAACAGCCAGCTATTCTACCAGTCACTAGTTTTCATCTCCAGCACGTGATGGAACTTTTATCAGAACTACATTTAAAGGAAATTCTCTACAGACACAAACCAGGATCACGTTCTGATACTGAAAATTAACACAATCATCTCAGTTCCTGAATCTGAATGCAAGAGAGGAAATAGGAAAGAACCTAGGCTGACACATTTCCTGCTAAGGTGACTCTAAAATACAAAACACCATATATCAATAGCATAATTGAAACACAGAATCATAATGGTTGGAAAAGACCTTTAGGATCATCTAGTCCAAGCATCAGCCCATCCCCACCACACTCATTAAACCTCATCCAAGTCATGCACCCAGTGTGGGGCATAAAAGCAAAAGGCAGGAAAGCAGCCCAAAGACATCTATCTTCCCACATCTTTTCTGTTAGACATTTAAAGTGAAATCACTGGTTCAAGCATAACACCCCATTAATTTACTTGAAGTCCCATGTGGACAAACACAAAAAATCCTTCCACTCCCACCTAGTGGGAACACACAGAGTGGGTGCAAAATAAGAGCTGAAAGCCCAGAGCTGAGGGTCCTGCAAGCATCCAGCCAAGGCTCAGGGCATACCAAGGAGTGAGGAGAGCAGAAGCATTTCAGAACACCACTAAGGCAATCATTTTCATCACCTGCATTGCTGTAGGACAGAAGAATCCCTCATTTTTTTTTTGTGGCTCAGGTCTGAGCCTTAGAACAAAGCTGATCCTTGGAACCAATCTTTACTCCTGCTAAATGCAGACACACTTAATGCAATGCCAGTGATTAATCCACTGACTTGAGTGAGTGTATCTGTAAGCACAGCCAGAGGTATTTGCAGAACTGTGGTCTGCAGGGGTGGAAATTCTAAGGATGGCTGCAACAAAAAGCTTTTTTTTTTTTTTGTGACTGGTGCCAACCTCCATATGAGTGTCGTGGTAAGCAAACTTATCCATCAATAAGCTTTTCATCAACAGGCCACTAAAGAAACTCTTACTGGTAATACAGCCACTGAACTGCAAAAAAGCAGGAGCTCTCCTCCATAAGTGTTGTGACTTTACTAATACCATCCCTGCTCACTTATGTGGAAGAGAAAAGCAGAGTTTTAACCCTGCATCCTGCAGGATCTGTTTCTAAAGGAAGCCAGAAATACCCTATGGGGAGTTCTGTTTTACCAAGCAAACTGTTATGAGTGACTCCAAGAACACATATTTTAATGTATGGAATTCCCTCGATCCAAATATTATCTGGGCTCAGCTGACTTCCCAAAAATCAAATAAGACAATTAATTCCCAAGATGTTTATTTACCAATAACAATTCCTCTAGGCCAAGCTTGTCAGTCCACAGTATTACCCAAGGAACAGAGATAACTCCATATTTGATAACCTTATTTCTCCTGGGCAATTCACAACCATGGATTTCAAAACACATTTTTCGTTTCCACAACTTGCTCCAAGCAACTTCAAACGGGAGAAAATGCTCCAACTTCTGAGGGCTGTGCAGCTTTGCAGGGGCCAGAGGAAAGACAGGCAGGAGCAGCATCCCACACCCAGCCCCATACTGCTAACCCATACTGCTAAGCAAGGGCTCCACGACTGCCAGGGACTCTGCACAGCCATCTTCTGCTCAGAGTCACACTGAAGACACACATGGTGAACAGCAGGGACATGCAGAACAATCTGGCTTCAATTTTTTACTTACTTTTTCTCCTATTACTTCGTTCCAGAAGCAAACTTACCCGGAGATCATTTATTTTTTTTTTGCTAGAAAATAAGGTATCCAGTAGAACTCCTGCTAACTTATATCAGACAGTGAACAAGCAATTTAAAAGCGTGGTGCAGATGGGAACTGCTGTCCATATTCTGGCTAGATAACACTGGAAATCAAAATATCTTGAGAAACATTCCTGAAACCAGCAAGTATTGTCAGTCATCTCAACAAGCACAATGTAACAAGTCTTTGGCATATGGCTTTAAAGTAGGATCAACCCAGAAATGCTTTTTATTTTACAAGACTTATATTCCATTTCACAGATTTGACTATTACAGCAGTGGAATTATTACAAGTGATTCGTTACATTTAGTTCTAAATAAAAGTAGAAAAGCACAAAAATGATAATGGAAAGTTAAATGAGATATGACGTGTGGTAAGTGTGTTTTAAGAACACAGAAAAAAAAAAAAAGAATATAAAAATACATTAGGATAAAGAATTTTGCTGACGGGTTTTGCTTTAGTTACAGTTTTGACACCACTTAGAAAGCACGGTATATTGAAAACTGTTAATTAGAAAGGTGATAAATCCAACGGTATATAAAAGGCAGAAATGAAACAGAAAAAATGAAAGGAGGAGCGTGTGTGTGTTGTGGGGAAGTCTATCTTATGGAAAACTTCCAGTCCTTTGGCCACTATAAAGCAAAGTCAGTGGATTTCATATAAATTCTCTGTAGAAAGGAATGTCTATGAACTGTGTTCAGTATGGCCCAGAATAAACATCTCATTATCAGGCTATTAGAGCTCCTCACAGAGGAAAATAAGGTGCTTACGTCATGGTTTCATCTTCCCAATAGAATACTGTCCGGAATTGGACTAGTGCCCCAAAATACCATTTCAGGAACAACACAAATTCCTTTAATGGAAAGGAAATGCAGTAACCTGCCGATGTTGTGGGAGCAGGGTGCTGGGCAATGGCCTCACTATTGCACGCTGGCTTTAGCTTTAAAGTTTGAGTGGTTGACTGGCAGGGGGTGAGCCTCTGTGTTGAACACCCAGTCATCCAGAGACAGCACGTCATCTTCACAGAACAGAAGATAGAGGTACCTGCAGCCATCAGGGCAAGAGGGAAGATGGACACAAAGGGAGATTAAAAGAAGCTCAGGTGGGACTCTAAGCATGCTCAAGAGAGCAAGAATGTGATGGGGCTGCTGCTAGCCTGAGCTCCCATAATTCGTGACTCCCATAATTTCCTGACAGCCCACCTCACCCTCTTGCTCAAAGCTGCCACCCCTGGAGGAAGCACAGCAAAATGGTGCAAGCCCCTGTGCTCAGCCACCCCACAAATGCTACCTCAAGCCACTGCCAGATGCAGATCTGCAGCAAGGGACAGCAAATCCATGCCACAGTCAAACTTCCCCTTTGTGCAGGGCACTAACCTGACAGAGGGGACAGCTGTCACTTAAACTATCAGAGCTTCCCACTCCTTTCTGAATAGCTCTAATGGCAGGAAGAATGGCAGGAAGAGTTCTTTAAACCTAGCACATAAGAAGAGTCCTGCAGACAGCCTCTAACAGCAACAGTTCTACATGAGGAAGTTACTAAAGCTTTGCCACACCCATATTCTTGGCCCAAATTTCCCCACAGAAAGTAAAAAACTTTCCTTAATAGAGATCTATGCAGGGAAAATTGTTGATCTTGCAAGAATTGTGGTATTCTGACATGACCTTTGTGATACCAGACTTACTTCAGAGTCTCTGCAAGGAAAAAACTCTGTTGCATGTTGTCATGGGTTGGGACCGTGGTGTAAACATCTCGGATGCCAGAAAAGCCAGCCTCTACTCTGCAGTGTTTTTCCAGAGCCTGAGAAAGGAAAAGAAAGAAATCTCAGTAACACACGACAGCATGCACCAACACATTAATCGTGGGCTGCACTGAAAGTCCACTTTACAAATCAAATTCAGAGTTCATAGCAGCTTCTGCCTCTCACTGAAGTTAACTGGTGGTTACTCCAGCCTCCAGGAATAAAGCTAGCTCTAATGCAATAGCAAGAGAAACATAAACTGCCTCAGCTGGATGACTGATTGACCTTGACATTACACACAACAAAAACGGATCTCAAGTGGCAACTCCAGCTGCTTGCAGAGCCTCTTTTCCAGGGCACCAAATGAATGATGGTTCTGCCACTGAAATGCAGTCCCTGCTACAATGCAGGGCAACAGCTGAACAGCTAGAAAGAGGTGAAGGACTTTCTGGTTGGGAAATTGTAGAGGGAAGAAGACAATAAGACAAAGGGCAAAGCCAGGTTTGCTGATTTTCTCTGGTGAACTCGAAACCAATGGTTCAGAGCACTCCAGATTCAAGGTCGACTCCTTTTTGCAGAAAGCTGTCACGTCAACATCAGGTTTTGCTGGCTGCAGCACTCTTCTCCATGAACTTCTGCTGCTCTGACCGATTACATTCACTACAACCAGCAAAGCAGCTGCACTGAATTGAGCTATTTTGCTTACTTCTGCCCCACTGCAAATGTTTCTCAGCCCCTCACGTTTTAAGTAACTTCTACTCTTTTTTCCTGACTTGAAGGAGAGATTCTTGTCAGAATCCAGCAGCCTGCAAGAGAGTTTTCCAGCCATACCTTCACGACCTCCCAGCCCCACTGCCTGTACTTGACATCGTGTGTCAGCCTCCACATGTACACGTAGCTCTCCACCACTTCTGGGCGCAGGATGTAGTAGCGCTCGCTGAGTCTGGTTGCCATGGCTTCAGTTCCAGCATCAAAACGAAAGGCTTCAGGGCCAAGTTTGGTATCTAAACAAAATCACACACAGTAATAATCAGTTTGAGCAAGCAAGCAAACAGACTGTTCAGGTGCTTTTATGCTGTTCAGGATGCAGACATTTGACTCAGGCTTGAATGAGGTCAGTAGAGAAGATCAAACACGTGTCAGAGTGACTGCTCATAGTCTGGCTACTATTTAAGCTGAGGATGAAGTGTTTCTGAGGGTGAATACAACTGAAAAAGCAAAGACCTGGACCAGATTTGAGTGTGGAGAGAGCAGAGTTCACCACTGCAAACAAACTCAGGATCCAGGTGAGGGTATACAGAGAGGCTGATCATTTCCTAACGCCTCAAAGAGAAAAGTCAAACCCTGTGACTGGACCTGCCACCACTGAGATATTGATGCACTACTCCCAGACTGGGGGGTTGTTGTTTCACTGTCACCAGTAGAGCAGATTGAGACACTTCAACTGCACTGGTGCATGGAAGCTATAAGGGAAAGTACCTGGGACCTGCACCACTTCCTCTACCTTTCCTTCTTGTCTTCTGACAGCCTTAAAAAAAGGACATCATGTGGACAGGGAAAGCTTAATCCATTTCACTGATATTTCATGAATAAAACATTACAAGTACCTTGATTTTTTTCTGAATGCCCCTTATGCAAAGCTCTCAATCTCTCACAAACATCATCTACTATTCAAATCATGCCTTCAAGACCTACTTATATCATCAGGCCACATCAGGCTTCTCTTGCTGCACCTATACACTTACCACATGGATGTGTTTCAAGTAGTCATTTTATTTTTATACATACTTTGCACACTTTCTCTGGGCCCTCCTATCTGCATGGGGATCTAATAGTGTCTGCTAGTTGTGCTATCTGCTGAGAGCTGGTGCACAGACACCCTGCAAACAATGAGCCTGCAGAGATGACAGCACTGTAATCAGTGTGGGCAGGCCTGCCACTGTCCTTTTTATGCTGATGGATACTGTTAAAAGGTGAAAATTGGCTCCAGGCACTCACAGCCAGAGGATTTTTAGTTTGGGTGATTTGCTTTATTTCTCTAAGTGCTGGGGGGAAAAAAAAGACCACTAAGAAAAACCACCTGCCTTATTTGCAAATATAATTTCAGGTTAACCTAAAGCTTGTTAGGCAAGCGTGCCAGACCACAACTGCCAATACAGCCTTGCTGATTTGGTGAAACAATCTTTGCAAACAGTGCAGACAGGATGTTTTTGACAAGGTCTTGGAAAGGTGACTGCTGCTTTTCTGCCTGCAGGCTCAGAAGAGCTACACAGATGCTTTCAAAGAAAGGAGTAGAGTCCAAAGCAAGCTTATCTTGCTGAAAGCCCTGTAGGCAGAAAATTTACCCAGTCTCTCATTCATTGCCAGTCACTGCTCTCCCAAAGCACTGACTGATAAGCACACTGTGTAGGTGAAATACATTGTACTGGACTTGTGAAAATGAAAGACTTAACCAGTCTCTCCTTAGACAGCAGGGAAGGGATAAGTAATTTCATTTTTCCAGTTCCTATCAGCAGCTGCAGGTCTCCTGCTGGTCTTCTCAGCTGCTCTGCTCCATATAGTGGGACACCTTGCAGTTAATCACTGTTAATCTCCTATTTTTGTTTGCACAGGGATGTGAAAGAATAGATTTGAACTGTAGTCTTGCTGGGAAAAGGTTAGTTCTGGGACTGTTCAGCTCTGGCTTCATCTCCCAGCTCTGCCACAAGAGCACACATCTGTCTGTCCCTCTGCTCCAGCTGTCTGCTATGCAAAATACAGTTTTCTAGATAAAAACAAGTGAAAATTAGGAGGAGGGGTGAAGATGTTGCTGAAGCACAAAACACTCTCCTGCAATCCTCTGCAACATGAAAACTGAGTCTCTCAAGCTACAGACTCTTCCTTACTAGTGGTTTCCAGGCAGCCCACAGGTTTACCTGAGCGCACATAAGACTCATGACATGTGTTTGTTATTTCTGCAGCAAGATCCATGTAGTGCTGCTTCCTCTCTTCTCCACCATGTTCAGCTCCCAGTGCTATCATGCCCCCAGAGAAGCAAGCCAGGTGCCCCATTTTGTGGTCCAAGATGCCGCCCCTCCATTCAGCGATGTAGGTCAATCCTCCCGCAGATTTTTTGACCAAATGCTTTTCTATTGCCTAAGGAGATGAAAAGCAAGATCTTAGGAGACTTAGTGGATCAGGTGAGGAGTGAATATCAGATGAACTCAAAGACATACAACACATTTAGCAGAAACAATCTGATGAGCAAAGACACAGTGCTCCAACCTGCTCCTTACCTCTAGTGCATCATCATACATCTTTTTTGCTTCAGAGTCCTTCTTGTCTGACATCAGCCACGATTTGATGAGATACTCATAAAAGCTGTCTCCGAGCCCTCCAATAGAGACATGGTCTGCAGTGGGAAAGCCAAAAAAAGAGCTCAGGTTCAGGACATGCAGTGTGTAGCTATGTTAGCAAGAGCAAATAACCACATCCTAGTTGATGTCTTTTTCTTTCCTCCTTTCCAGTTTTCTCAGAAGAGTTTGGAGTGTCAATTCTTAAGAAAGGTGGAAAGTGCAATCCAAAGAAAAACATTCTCTCCCTTTATAAAACATTTTACAAGTCCACTGAAGCCATTCGGATGTCATATTTTCCAAGTTATTGGTACTACAACTTGGAGATACTTCTCATTTATGAAGCAATCATCATAAATCCCCATCCCATAAACAAAGTGCAATGGCAGGTATTGACAAACCTCTACCTACACAAAGCTGCCAGGTGCTGTCTGCCTGCCTTAGGAAAAGGAGAACACATGTTAGATCAGCTATAGATGCCAGAAATGGACTGCTGCAGGGACCTCCAGGTTCTGCCCATTGGTATTCCTGTCTCATAGAGGAATGGGAAAGGCTGCTGGAGCATTAAAACGATAGTGTCAGGTATAAGGATGTGCACAGAGTATTTTTCTTCTGGAGAACTCCAATTTTCAAGGCTACCTTGTTAGATGCTTTGACCTTAGCTGAGAGGACGCTAACAAACTGCACACTGACACAGGAAGGACAGCTGCAGGTTTCTGCCTGGCAGGGAACTACTGGATGGATTTATTTCTTTAAACCATATCACAGGGGAAAAAGCAACAGCAATTCTCTGAAGCAGCCAAGAACGCCCCTTCTCAGAAGAACAAGAGAAATTGCCCCCCATGGACTGAACAGCCCCTGTTAATTAACTGTGTCTACCTCTGTGCCTGCATGCTTCCTCATTTTAAATGTAAGCAGGTGCAGCAGAGTTTTGAAATTAGCTGCTCAGATTTTTATTTCTCCTTTTATTGTACATATCTAATGCCCCAAGGCTTGTTCTAACTGCTAAGTCCTACCAATAGGAGACATCAACAGCCACGCATTTTCCTGACCTTAAAAGCAAAGATGCCTCCCACAGTATGTCCAACGATCCATGGAATAATCCATAGCAGAACACTGAGATGAGACACATGGATCCAGGAGGTAAAAAAAAACAGAAGAGGACAGAGTATTTACAAACAACGGCTGCACGGTTTGTTTCCAAAGAGATCTCTGTGATCTTAAGTGTGTCGCTCATAAAATCACCAAAGCAGGAGCTCTGGTACATAATTACTTTCCATATGGCAGCAGCTCTGCCAGCATTTTCCTCTGAGGCACTGTGCACAAACAAATCTTTCCTTTCAGCAGGGGACTGCACCCTGATATCCTGAAGGTAACAACTGCAGGTACAGCACTACCTCTTCATTTAGAATTGCTGCTCAGCCAGGTCAAAGATTCGCCTCTTAAGAAAATCACTGCAATTCCAAGAAAAATATCTTCCTGCAAAGAGCTTTAATGATGAAAGAAAATGAGAGTCTGGCACCTACAGGGAACATCTCTGTGGCAGACAGCAGCTGCCTCCCCACTTTGGACCTAATCTATCTTCCATCAGCAGCGTTGTAGATGCAGAAGAGGCTGATTAGCCTTTTCTCTCACTGGAATATGGATTCAGACCACAAATGTCACATTACGAGCAACAGCCACAGCAGTCTGTGCTGTAAGTTGCCCCCATGACGTGAAAGCCTAAGAGAATGAACACCCATACTCCTTTTGTGTAAGTTTCCATCCCCAGAAAAAAATAATCAGAGGCTACTTTTAATAAGCTCTGAGCATCAGCAGGCAATGGGTCCATCTATATGTCAGTAAGGAACAGGAGTTCAGAACAATGAAGCCAAATTCGCAGACAGAAATAGAGTTAGTGGTAGAAAAGATTCATCCTGAGTATCAAGCTGAGTATTTTAGACATCTGAATTAAAAGCACAGCTCTTCGGTTTCCCAAAGATTCAATCATGATGAGTTATGGCAACAGCAGATCGAAGAGGCAGGCACTCCTCCTGTCAGCACCAATGGATAGGAAGCATTAGGGCTGCTTTCTGGGAAGGTGTCACATCAGCTGTTGGGAATAACACAAAGGAAGCAGCACTGCAGGGGTGAAGTAGAAGACTGGAAATTGGTTTTTCAAGTGCAACATCTCACAGCAGCTCTGCAGAGATGAATGTGGAAGGAAAGCTGAACTGCTTAGGAAGGGATTGGAATGAGTGGGAAGATCAATCCTTGGGACAAACAAAGAAGCCTATTTTCTTTCTTCACATACAGATCAGTTTAACGAGACAGCTGCACTCATTCAAGATACTTTGTTGGGACACTGCTCAAGCCAATCTCTGTCCCTGACAATTGCTTCCTAAAAAAGAATGGACAGACCAAAATGCACCATGCAGGATGCTGAGCACAAACTGATACCTACGCTGCACCCAATTCCCCGTCACTGGGCTGAGAAAGTTGGGATAAAGGCCCTGTGGCTTCTCCACTCTTTTCAGGACTTTACGGATGTTGAGCACCTAGGAGAGATCAGAGACAGGAACTGTGTTACTTCTCTGCTGGAAAAAAACAATATCAGTAGTTTTCACCATCACTGAGAGTTCTGCCGTTCACCAGCGTCACCCTTGGCTGAACACAGCCCACAGCACTGCAAACCACCATGCAAGCAGAACCTAATGATGTGCCTCTGCAGTGAGAGACCTTCCTGCTGCACTCCTCAGTGCTGCCCAGTTCTGTGGGATTCTAACAGTGGTCCTAAAAACCCTGCAAGGCCCCAGTTCTGCAACCATCAGAAGCAGTTTCCCAACACTGGGTCAGAAAGAATCCCAAAGGGTGGAAACGGATGGGAGGTGGAAGGTGATTTCATTTTTCAAGACACAAATGGACAGGAGCAGCGGGGATGAGTGACTCACACAGTACTCACATTCACCATGTGGTCACTTCATGAGATGAGCTGGTGCCTTCAGTTTCAACAACCAACAGCCCCTTTTATATGCTTGAGAAGTTTTACACTCCAAAGCCTCTCTTGGCTTCACCCCAATTAAATCCAACAAGCCTTTCCCATAAGGGATATCATTAAATGAGAAGCAGCATAAATATTCTACTAAAGCCTACAGAGCAGCTAATATGCTCTATAAACCTTTTATAAAATCAGACAATCTGTGCGTAAAAGCTGGCTACAGACTGCAGTTGATACTTCCAACTAAGTCATCAGGCTGCATAATATTTACTGAATTTTAGTAGCACGGTGTTTGAATAAAGACACAGATGGATTTTATTCCTGCTAAAATCACACAAGTCTCAAGCTGCAAATTAATGAGTTGATCTGTTTCTCTGAAGTCATTTCCCACAGGATGAACTGTTTGAGCCCCTATCATTTTACGTTTTCTCTCTCAGAGGGTATAAAGATGAATGGCATACAATTTCTGTAGCACACAGCAGACATGGGCAGCTCAGGGGAGTCCAATAGAAAAGTTCTGTCCTTACAACTCCACAGGCGTAAGAGACAAAGAGGAAAACATGCTACACTGGGGACAGTGGCTTAGTTTAGCTCAAAATACCACGTTTGAACTTGGAATATAGATGCAATTCTTCTTGCACTTGTGTTTTCAGTGCTCACTTCTCCGTTCCTTCCTTACAAGTAACGGAGAGAGGCAGATGAAGGGGCTGGCAGCAAATGCTCAAAGGAAACACTGGGGTTAATGCTTTACAGAGCCAATTGGTCTTATGGGACCCACGAGAAGAGCTATTAGTGACCCTTTTAGGGAGCTGGTGCATAGGATGCACTGAGTCTTGTGACCTTTGCACCCTGCAAAGGATAGAAGTTTCTGAATTCACGTCCCACTCTGGAAGGTTTCTCCTCTGCAAGCTGTACTGGTGTTGGGAAGAGGAGACAGCTGCCATGCTCCCTGCTGCAGGCAAACCAAAGTGCTGCTCTACTCCAGCCCTGCCCCACAAGGATGAAGTTACCAATGATGGGGTTGGGAGTACTTGCCTTTTCTGCAAACACTGGGTTGCCAGAGAGCTCGGTGAGGTGCAGGAATTCTAAGTGCAAGGTACCAAATTCTGCTAAGATGCTGCTTCCGGCAGATGCCCAACCCCAACTCCAACTCATGCCGCTGCAAGGAGAGAAAAGGGAGCCTTCAGTGCCAGGAAAACACAGTGAAAGCCTGCGGTCACCCCGCTGCCCCAGTGCAAACCACACCTTTCCTTCATGTACTCCACTGCCCCAGACTGCAGCTCTGCACCTCTCTGAAAGCTGCACGGCCACTGAAGGTGACCTCTGCCCATGGGTCAAAATAGCCTCTGCAGGTTCTTGCTGAGGGAAGTGTGGCTGAGTGTTACCTCAGAAGCAGCATGGCTTTTATTTTCACTTCTCTTTGCAAGAACTGCTTGTGGTTGGTACAGATGAGGCAGCACATTGCCAGTGTTTTTGGGGGAGAACAGCAGACAGCATCTAAAAGCCAGGCTATGAAAACAGAAGTGCTTATGTTGTTTACGAGAGGCTAAAACCAACGATCTTTCTGAGGCAAAAAAGGTTTCTCCTCCATGTCATATAAGGAAAACCATTCCAGGTCCAGAGCAGTTTGTTTCACCTCCAGGCAAAAAGAGCTATTAGATAAGCAATACGCTCCCAGCTTCAGACAGCTCAGTCACTCACTGCCACCCATCAGCCTTCCCTCCAAAGGATCAGGATGCTCTATGACCAATTTTTGCTTTCAGGACATCACGGCTAAAATGGGTACCCCAATAACATCAAGTATTATGGATGGAAGTGTTTATGGATGGGCTGAAAGGCTCAGAGTGCTCTGCCCAGAGTAACACTGGTGTGAGTGACATGTTGGAAACATCTGCTGAACCTGGCAGGAGCTGTCCCTAGGATAGGTGTACTAATTGATCCCTAATTGATTGGTGTTCTCTTATATATCACCAATTACTGCACTGAAGGCAGACTGTAACAAATACGACCTCACAAGCAAACTGCTTCCTGAGCTAGTTTAGATGAGAGTTCAGAAGCAGCTGAATGAGGCTGTGTTAATTGCAACAGCAGCTCTCTGGGGTCACAGTGGCTGGCAACCCTCCCCTGGGAACTTCCACCCAAAAAATGCAGCAAACCACTGCCTGCAGGGACCCTGCTGCCAAGAATCCAAACTCTGGGTGACAAATCACAGTAAAACTCAGGGAGAAGTGGTCTGGAGGAAGCAGAGTATGTCTGCTATTTGCCCTGGGGTTAAAGAACAGCCTAAAAATGACCCCTTGCAGGAAAACATTTTTTCAGCATTAGACTAGACAAACTGGATCTTTGTACATGCCCTATTTTACAGCATCTCAGAAGAAATGACCTTTTCAAGGATCCTAGTCTGCAAGACAAAGGAAGATGCCTCTTTAACCCCTTTTCCTTAAACACTGCCCAGTGCAGCAACACCAAAAGTGACTGCACCACCTTCCCTCAATTCAAAGCAGCAAAACAGTGCCAAGCCAAAAGAGAGACCAGGAAAGGAGGGTGATGAGGAAGGACTTGGGAATGCAGAGAGCTTGGGGAAGCTGTGAAGAAGAGGAGCCAAGGTGCTGGAACAGGAGAGAAATGACAGCGTAACACAGAGTGCAGAACAGCAGCTTTTGAGAAGATGATGTACTCCAGGACCTGGCAGACAACATGGCAATCAGACTGCCAGGATGGAAAATAATATCCTCTATGGGATACGATACTGGAGCCTGTGTGAAAACACATGGCCATAGGGAAACCCATCACTGGGGAGGGGACAAGAGGAAAATGCCCTGTGAGGTGTAGGAACAGAGACACCCAGCTATAGGAAGTGGGAACGGAGATATCTTTCTATTTTGATCCTCAAACATTGACTTAAAGCCAACTTTTGTTTGTTTCATATTTCTGAACACTGTTCCTACCCATCTACTAAAGCTACCACCAACAAAAGCCTACATGTGCCACAAGATCTGTGCTAAGCTGATGAGGTCTCTGCAATTAGCATATGCCTGGAGACATCGAACTGGTGAGGCAATCCCTTCTTGCAAAACTCTTCTGGGCTTTGGCTTGGGCCTGACCTTTGGTTTCTCACAACATCACTTCTTTGCTCAGTTTCCATTTCCCCACGCTATCTCAAACTGAATAACTCCCTCATGGCCTCTGGCTGTTCATCATGTTCCAGCACTAGTAAGACAACAGATTTAGCTCACATCATCCTTACTCCTAAATCAATTGTCACTCCAAGCCCTCACAGCAGTTTCGTAGCCCTGATGCCAGAGCTCGTGCCAGTAACATGGTGGATTGTGAGCTCAGTCTCATTCTTATTTTCTCTGCACTTAGAAAAGGTCATCAGCAAAACATTTGGGGAATGTCTAGCCAGACACAGATGGTTTCAATTGTCTTCACAAAGGGCACGGGAGGATTTGGCATTTCTGTGAAAGGTTAGTCTATGCCGAGTCTTTATCAGTTACAGAAGAAGCAAAATGTCTCTTCTGTAAAAAGAGACCAAGTTCTGGTAGCAGTGGATTGAATTTTCAGTAGAATGACATGCAGATGGAACAACCAAAGGGTGACAGAGGGATTTAAGCAATGGATCACCATGAGCCAAACATCTGACAGTCTTGCACTTCGCAGATGGGAGCCAAACAGGAGATCTGGGCTGAGAGATGAGTAATGATTTTCATGGCTGCTGTTCTGAGTTTTGCAAGAGGGGAGGATGAAAAGCTTTTGTTAACCCACATTTCCTGCTGTCTGTGCCTCAGCTGGCAAGCAGCTTTTAGCCAGGGGAATTTGTCAGTAGGCATCAAGAAGAACCAATGAGCCCTTATTGGCAGGGAACAGTGTCTGCTGGTGAGAATCAGAGACTGGGAGTCTAGCCTGCAAGTTTGCATCTCTTTTCCAAGCGTCCTTCAACAAGCTATTTAACCCAGTTCTACTAAAGCTCCCCTCCAGCAAGAGGCCACCACCTACCTGAAATCAAATGCTGTAGCTTTAAGTGAAGGCTGCACACCTGGCTGTGTGCTGCCAGCAGGGAGAGAAATAGAGGATCAGTATCTCCTCCCTTTCTAGCAGCAAAAAAGTCAATCAATCCCATCCTGTTCCTTTCCAAATCTCTACAAAAACGGAACCTGGATAAATTCACATGCATCTGATTGGGTACACTGCAAAACGTACAGACTACAAATAACCTTTCAAAGAAAATGAGAATGAAGAAAACGCTACTGCAGCAGGGAGGCCTGCCAAGAATTAGAGGAAGAAACTGTGGATAGTCCAAAATTAATAAAACACAGCTGGCTTTGAGTCACCTGCAATCTCTGCCAAGGCACTTCTTGGTTCTGAGTTGGCAAAACAAATGACCTCGAAGAATCTGCACTAGAGGGGGGGCAGCTCTGAGAAACTGCTGCTGTTCCTGCTTGGGTGCTGGTCTTTTACATTCAATAATAAAATGACATGCTTGTAAGGACACGTGTCTTGCCTGCCCAGATTTATGACGCCACGTGGGATACCAGTGGGAGTGTTAAAAGCTGGCAAAAGTTTCTCTCCGAGTTCCAGAGCTTTACTCTTGAACACCTGTTAAAAGAAAAAGAGAGGATCAGTGTTTGATGGACTGCTCATGAGCACTAGTCACCTTTGATTCTTTTAAGCCCACCCTTTCAAACTAACCATTATAAAAAACTGGAAGCACAGTACACCATACAGCTCTACCACTTCAGTCACAGATCCACTGCATGACAGATTTGAACCAAAAGTGACTGAACTTAGCTGTGTACTTAAATATCCTCCAAAAAATCAGTTCCTGAGTCACCTGCCAGACCCTCAACCTGTATGAGAGCACACAGAGTGCCCCAAATATCCCAGCAACAAATTTCAGTGATCTGAACTGACCCAAAGAGTGTTCTTCTGGGACAAATTCTGTGATTTTCCCAGCGTGGAAGTGCATGCTGAATTAAAATCAAAAGACATCTTTCTAGGGTGAAGCCCTGTCAGATTTACAACATGTTAGTCTACCTGTTGTTAACTCTAGACATAAAAAAACCCACCATTTCCAAGGATCAATCTTTAACTTGCATCTCACTTCCATGAGGGATTCATAGTTCTATGGTTAAGCTGTTCCCTTCCCATTCATAATGCCTGAGTTTTTGAGCTTTCAAATCAAATTACAGCTTATGGTGCCTTGCAGCACAAAATCATCATACATAATTATTTCGGAACAAACTGCTGTAAGCACTAATCTTTGCTCCAGAGCTTAGTCCAGATCAAGAGAAGCTTGTAGGTGACTTAAGAGATAAAGCAGAAGCCTTTTACCTCTACCCCCCTCCTGTATCAGCCCAAGCTGTCACAGTAATTCCAAGAAAGAAGGAATTTACTGCTCTAAAATTACAGCACTGAGGAAACCTGAGCTCTCCTGGGGGCTATCAGCCTATTGATATGCTTGCAAGGAGGTAGGGATTTGATTCAGAAGTCAAAGCCAGAAGACAGGGACTTGAATTTTGCCAGGCTGAACCTGGTGCATGTACGACAGGTACTGCCCTGGCTGCTGATGGCATTTCCAGAGGTCACTGCTGGAGTTTTACAGTTTAACGTGGTTTCTTTTTGCTGTTGACCTGAAGCCTGCTGAAGCTGTGACTGGGCATGGCCTTGGCACGAGAGAGTTTAGGCACTTTGAGAGTTTGCCCAGGGCAGAAATTACAGAGAGAAGTCATTCCTGAAAGTCATTTAAATGCAACCCAATTAACAGTGTGGCTGCAAGGATCAATGGTGCCACTTTGCAGTGATGAGCCACTCCATCCTACTACAGTGGACAGAACACAAACAGTCAGCGTATGGCACAAGAGCTAAACTCTCATTTAATAGCCAGTCTTACAGCTCTTTCACTCACAAAACTCCCCCCATGGAACAGAATTGTTGCTTCCCTAAGACTTCTGGGGCAAAGCAATGACCTCTTAATCTCTCTACAGCCAGATGTAAAATTCCAGTCTGGTTGTATTACAAAACAGATTATGGCACTAAGTCCTTGCCTCTATCAGGATTGAGAGAAAGAAGGGAAGCGGGAGTGAGAGCCTCCTGCTTTAACCAGCACTGCAGGAGGAAGGCAGCATCCACGAATGGCTGCTCCACCACACCACAGTGTGGGCTCAGCCCCCCAGCACACACCTGCTGGGCAGCAGCACACTGCATGGAGCTGTATCAATTTGTCACATGAGTTGGCAGGATACAGGAACTCTGCCTGGCAGCTTGACAGGTCCTCCCTTCCCTGTGTCCCAAGGCACTTTATCTGACAGATGAATGTTGCAGACTGTTCAGACAAAGTTTGGAGCAATTGCCACTGACCAGTTGCCTTCCTTTGGTTGGAGCAGGACTTGGAGTGATGTTTGATGTAATACTGCCCATGTTTAGAATACAAAGGAACAACAATAAACACAAACATCACTGCAAGTGGCATTTCAGTAGGGAGCAACATATCCAAACAGCCCACCAAAAGGAAAAGTCTGTGCAAATGAGCCATTCAAAGTAATTACATGAGAATTAAAGGAGTGGCTTTTCAATATACACGAAAACAACAGGTTTAGCCTGTTGTAATGGTGAGATCATCCCATGCTCAGAAAAAAGCTGATGGAGAAACCTTTCAGTTCAGTGTGATACACAAAGCTGCTGACACAAACCTCTTCTCCAGTTAAGTAGTACGCAGCCAGCAGTCCTCCAATGTAGCGGATGTTCACCTCGAACAAGGATGCTTCTCCATTCTGAAAATACAAAACGATACACCTGACTGCCAAGTCCACACACAGAAACAGCAGCTGAAGTGAGCAGACTGCAGGCAGATCCCCAAGTCTCCCAGTCCTACTGCAGCACACCTTCCCATCTCAATGCATTTTGTTCGCTCTACAACGACAGCAGGAGCCCAAGGGGAAGAGAAGCACCCAAACTGCCATTAATCCCCAGCTAACGATATCTAAATCAGGTAAGGCAGATTTATTGCCCAGCCATTCAACTCTGTCTTGGATTACACTTTGCAAAACTCTATGAGATGTATGTTTTCAAGAGCAAATTGCACAGCCACATGGAAGAACGCTCTCTATTTTTTGGTGAAGACTACATTGCATTCAATAGACTGAAGCACTTCCTGCACAAGGAAGGTTCTGTCATTCAAGGACTCAGCCCAGTCTGCAGGATCAGAAAGGCCCACAGTGTGCATGCAGTCTTGGGCATGCTTAAGGAAAGACAAACTGCATGACAGCCATCTGCACCAGAGACAGCAGACAGAGATGGACATGGTTCACTGAATCAATCACTCAAGAACCACTCACCTGGAACAAGTGTTGCTCTACCTACCCAACTGATGATCAGCAAATGTCAGAAGGACTGCATTCAAAACAGAACACAGGCTCCTAGCTGGTGGGTCTGCATGATAAATGATTCCTACCCACATGCAAATGCATTAAGCCGCAAAATGGAAAGATATTTTACCAACACAGCACTTTCAGTGAGCAGGGCAAAGTGAAGGGACACCCAGCCCTGTGCACCAGGCTGTTCTCTCTGCAGGCTACAGACCAGAGCAAACGCTCCCTTGAGATGACAGCTGAAAGGGCAGGAGGCAGTGCAGGGCACCCAGTTTCAAAATGGGCCTTGGGAGTCCCTGCCTCACTCTCTGGGACTGTCAGAGTCACTTGCACAGAACAATTTTGAATTAACCTCTCTGCTCCTCTCTGCTGGGCTTTCTGACACCACCAATCAACCCACAGCATTCATCCTTGTCTCTGCAGATCAGCCTATTCCACAGACTAAGATTAAAAGCTTTTATGAGATCCAGATGAATTATTTCCCAGTTGATTCTGTCCCTTGTTTATCGATTTAGTAATGTGCTGAGAGCATCCATCCAATTTATCAAATGTGGTCTTCCTTTTATGAACACGTGAATGCCAGTCATGCCCACCCACATGATGAGGTGGCTGCATGCATTTTTCTTCGTGGCAGACAACGAAGCTGGCATTCAAACAGAGAAGTTGGAGCTGTGGTTTGATTTGAACACTCTCTGCATTCCACTGATAAGATTCCACCAGCTCTCCCAGGAAGCACAGAATGGTTTGGGTTGGAAAGGACAGCAGTTATCATCTACGTAGCTCACTCCAAAAGTAATGCCTCCTTCAAAGCTCCCCGTCCTCAAATGACTTTTAGAAAAGGTTCTGCAATTAGAACTGGCCAGACATGCACAGAGGCTTCTGTGGTACAGACGGGCACTCCCAGTAATTGACTCACCACATTCAAGTCAAAACTCTTCTCCACCCATGCTTTTGCTTCTTGGAATTCCTCCTCCAGTTCCATGATGTACAGAGTATCTAAGGCATCTACCACCGTAGCTCCTCGAAGTCCTCCTGCAGTGCAAACAGAACAGTGTGATGAAAGCACTGTTTTTTTTTGTCTCTACATGATTCTGCAGAAGCTGAGATAAGCAGGTGTTCCTAGTCCCAGTAATGGGGATCTCTGGATGGGACCCAGAGTGACCACAGCTTAGGCTGAGATCTTCTGGGAGGACTTGACAGCTCTGCCACCCAAAAGATATTGCTCTGGAGAAGCCAACTTTCAAAGGCCTGATGCTGTTCAGAAATACCTCCAAAGAACAGCACAAGATCTACACTTTAAACATCAGTCATGACTGCAATCCTTGGATTTGCTTCTCAGATCTTGTCTCAGACAAAACATTTAGGCAATTCCAATTCTAATCTTTGCTCAGCTGCAAACCCAAATACAGCCTCCTCCTAATTCAGTCCTAAGAGCAGCCCTCTTCTGAGGGAAAAGAGCTGCATTTGCACTGTGCAGGAGCACCAGGACGGGGCTCTGATCATTGTGTCCTGATGCAGTGTCCATTATCCAGGGCACAAAGTACTTTTTCACCACATCACAACCCAGGGTTTCCCATTAGCACAACATGCAAACCGCAGCCTGAGCTGTGGGTGCCTCTGGGGATGGCACATGGAATTCAGCAGTCTGGGCACTTTGAAGCTTTGCTGTCATCCCTCCGTGGATGCAGTGCAGCAGGGCCATAGGCATGATGATGTTTTTATTTGGCTCACATCAGCTCCTTTGTCTCACTACCTGACTTTAAAATACCACCCTATATTCTGCCAGCAATCCCAGCCTGCCCACACCAGGCTGGCACTTCTGCAACACCTTCAGTTCTACTTCAGCTGTAGTTTTGTTTGAGAGAAAAACCCAACTAAGGAACTACTGCAGAGAAGAGAGGAAGGCAAAGGTGAGACATGTCACAAATCTTAAGTATTTGGCTTTTCTCATTAAAAAGAGACAGTGTCTGATATACATCATACCCTTAGCCAAAGAAGGGCTCAGACCCACCCATCTCTTGCAGGGCTCATTTTTGCTTTCAGCACTCGTATGCTGTGCAAAAAGCATCCTGCCTTATTTTGTTGATGCTACAAGCCTGCAGTTTTGACACTTTTCAGCCAGTCAGCACATCATTGCTTTAATAAAAACCCAACCAAGACTTCACTGCTCAGCTACAGATTGCTGGCTTTCAGATGCTGTCTGCATGAAAAAACAGGGACTGTGGAGAAGAGATGAAGGCAGTCTCTAGAAATCCATTTATTCCTACCAGGCTTGCAAAATGTTCATCTAACTGAAGCTATCTTCCAGCATGCAATAGATGGAATCAAATAGCCACTACATCAACTGATGGTTACGAAAAAAGTCAACTGAGCTGAGGTTTGTGTGGTGTGTTTTCCAAAAGCAGCGATGACAGCATTGCTGCAGTCAGAGCTCTCTTTATCAACTGTAATGATTCTTCAGTATTAATGATTATGTCTTTATATATATATATATATATAAAGGAGAAAAACAACATGGACACAAGCAAAATGTTTCAAAAAGAGAAGGAAGGGCAGTACTGCTGGAGGCACAGCCTGTTACTGTGACAATTCTAATAAACACTAATTGGGTCTGTTTAATTTGATGATATTCCTTCCAGGTCTCTGCTTGGACTTTGTTTCATCAGATCACCACAGAGCTCATGACACAGCGTCCAATGATGGCTGGGACTGCACTCAGCTGTCCAAGGGCAGTGCTGTACACATCCTGGCACGTTTGTTAGATCACACACACAGCCATTGATAACGGCAGGGATATTTGCTTGCCGTGCTGATTACTTTGAGAGATGTTACAAAAGAATCCCCTTTCAAGATCTATACAATACAATGTGAAGGATATAACCAAAGGGGAAGCAGGTTTGGAAGGAGGAGGAATCAAAACCCAGCATCACTTCCGACTTTTGCTGACACTCTCCTGCTCAGCAGCTGTTTCCATCTTCACTGCACTCCCGCTGAGAGGGTTCTGAAGTACAAACCCTCACATGCAAACCTTCCAAAGGTGCCCAGAAAAGGTAGCAATGACATTTAACAAGACTCTGTGTCTGAGTTTCTGCCTGCCTCTATGAATCTCAGGTCCTATGTGCCAATAAAATCCTCCCACCTTGCTGATCCTGCTGCACAGCTGGCTCAGAGCAGAGCTACACCTTGCTTGGAAGAGGCAGGTCATGACATAGCTGGTGCCCAACAGGACAGCATGTGCCTAGCAGACAAAGGTCTGGGATCCTCATGAGCTCCTACATTGCTCCATGAGAGCACTGTGAATGAGGAGGAGGAACCTCTGGGTGGGACCAGGGGAAAACTGGGAGCTCAGGCAGAACACGGTGATGCTTGCATGGGGATCATGATATTTTTAACTGAAGGACTTTGCAGTATGGCAGCAAGCAAAAGGGGCTCTGCCTGGAGCTCCATCTGTGTGAAAATGAAGCAGCTCATGGAAGCAACACAAACGTTCATCTCTGAGGCCCCTCAGACTGAAGGAGGTCCTGTACCACCGCGTCCCAGGCTGTGAGCATTCGCTCTTTTATGCACGAGAAGAATGGAGACAGCCATGTATGCAACAAGGCTGCTCTGTTCCCACTCCCACCCACCCAGGGCGATCACCACCCATCCCCTCACTTGTGAGCACTGCCACAGAAATCACAAACAAACGTTACATTAATTAACATAGCGCCCGTGAAAGGTGCGGAATGGAGCGTGCTGCAGAGAGAAGGAGCATTGTATGCATGCTGTCCCCCCTGGAGCCTCTGTGGGAACACACTGTGATGTCGGCCCAAAGAAGCCAGACTGTTCAACTGACACTATCTCAAAGGGGCCTTTAGAAACCACCCATAGAGCCCATAGCAGCTCCTTCCAGTTTGAGGTGCATCAGCTGCATAGAAGGTCTCAGGATCCCCTGCTCCCACTCTCTCTCTGACTCCTCTCTGGTGCCTGCTAGCTCAGGTAGCCATTAAAGCCACCTGCAGCAGGAGCTTGCAGGACAAAGCAACTCCCAAAGATTCAACATGAGGTTCAACACACACCCAGCAGACCAGAAGGGCAATGCTTTGGAAGACACACATCAAATCTCAATGAACACAGTCCGCTGACACACGCACAGGTTTCACCCACTTGCACATCCCACAGCCCTGCTCCTTTTTCAGGCTCCCAGCAAGCCCCTGTGGGGAAGAAAAAAGGAAACAACACCCTTCTTCTCAATGTGTAGTTTAAAGGGAGGCCACGAGAGGCAGCCAGAGGTGGAGAACAACAGCCCACCACCTGCCAAGCATGCAAAGACCAATTACAACCTGAAAAGCACTGCAAAGCACCAAGCTGGGACTTACACCAACGGTGGTACCTCAACTGCTGTTGCATCTGTGAACCTCCTTACAGCTACCCATTATCAGCAAATCAAACCCACCAACTCAGGCACAAACAGCCCAGTGAAACACACTCACAACAGAAACTTCACGTTTGATCGTTAGCAAATTAATGAAGGTTTACATCTGACTCGGTGAAGCTTTCAAAAACCACCAGTTCCATGTGTGTAATCCAACTGAAGTGACCACATCCCACCTGGCCATGCTTACCGACCATGGGACTGCTGCTGGTTGTGCTGGGATAGGTCCAAGTGCTGCTCTCACAGCACAGCAGAGCTGCTCCATTACAAAGAGGACAGGATTAAAGTTTTTAAGAAGCAAAACAACCCACTGCACAGCAGGCAAAGAATCACCTCCTATCAGCAGACTGTGATGTACCCTTGGTTTTTCTCTCCTTCAGCCTCATTGCAAGCTATGCAGAACAGAACACAGTCACATCAGAGACAGCCACAAGTTTTCATACAGCTTCTGGAAGCCAAGCTGAAAACCTTCAGCTCAGAACAACTTCAGTCTCCACTTCTGCACCCTACAGTGCGAGGTGAAGCACGCAGCACTGCGCAGATTTAACAGCAACTTTGTGACCAAGGAGCAGAGAGCAAAGGACAAAAATCAGGGAAGAGGGTCAGAAGTGGACTGCGAAAAAAGAAAAATGACAAGCAGACTGCAGAGCACTTGCAAAAGCATCCAGGATATTTTCAGTGTGTTCCCTTAGGAAATAAAGAGCAGTTCTGACTGTGTTCAGAAAGTGGTTCACCTTCTCTGGCTGTGCTGCTGCTCCATCAGTTCCACCTGCCAAAGCGCTGCCTGTAAGTGATGCAACCTCTCAGCTTGCTGGACCCTGAACCTCATACCATCTTGTCAGCTGCCATCCCAAAAAAGCCCCATTGCACACCTGTAAGTGGGAGCAGGGCCTGTGGCCTACGGCTGCTCTAACAAGGTGTCAGTGACTCACTGACAAGGGAAGAGAGGATACGGAGGCAACAGAGTGACTCACCAGCAACAAAGCATGATTCATTCACCTTCATCCTTCCTCAAAGGCTCTGTATTAAGAAGAACGGACAACAGCAGGCCCAAGGAGAAGGGAATGTTGGTGCAGCAGCTAACATTTCAGGATCTCTCTTCAGAATTGCATAAAACACTTCTGCACGCTCTCCTCCCCAGGGCATTCCCAGCTCCAAAAAGCTCCCCTAGCCAACGGACACTACTTTGCAGTTGCACATCCAGGGGGTCAAACAGCAGCCATTAGCCCAAACAAGTGGTGGTGTGCTCCAATGGGGCATAGATGAAAGGAAAGATGAGTAGGGGCCCCTTTTTCAGGGAACGTAAGGATAGAACAGAAGATAATGAATTAAAAGTAAAACCAGGTTGGATGGGGTCCTGGGCAGCCTGATTTAGTGGAAGGTGTCCCTGCCAGGGGCAGAGTAGAAGCAGGTTAAGGTTCCTTCCAACCCAAACCATCCTACAGTCACACTACTGTTATGAACTGTCACAGAGACAGATGGAAGCCCCAGCTAACCTCAGCATCACAGCCACCCAGGAGGCAGTGCCAATGCACCAAGACACTACAGCAAGCCAAGAAGCTAAAGAATATTGTGTCTAAAGTGCTGGAGACAGAACCCAGGGGGCCCTGCCATGCCA